CCATTCTGCCTACAGTTCATCCATTCTGCCTTCTCCCTACAGTTCATCCATTGTGGAAGATGAGATATTATGTTGTCGTGACTTTAACATTAATCTGAAGACTGTTATCTCTAATTAACTAACTATGTTTAATTGTTACCTGATTAAATTAATCATGAAACAATTAACTCATTAGTATCTGGGGCACCACGAGAGTGGTTCTTTAAAGAGTCACCATCTCCTGAATGAAACTCTAAAAGGTCTTTACCTATCACATCTATAAACAGTCAACTTATTAATCATAACCTCGTATCATATCATCAGTCGTAACCTCACATCTATATGCAGCCGTCTTCATCGACCTGGCCAAGGCTTTTGACTGCCTTGCCTGGTTCACCAACTACTTCTCAGATAGAGTTCAATGTGTCAAATCGGAGGGCCTGTTGTCTGGACCTCTGGCAGTCTCTATGGGGGTGCCACAGGGTTCAATTCTCGGGCCGACTCTATTCTCTGTGTATATCAATGATGTCGCTCTTGCTGCTGGTGACTCTAAGATCCACCTCTACGCAGACGACACCATTTTGTATACATCTGGCCCTTCATTGGACACTGTGTTAACAAACCTCCAAACGAGCTTCAATGCCATACAACACTCCTTAAGTAGCCTCCAACTGCTCTTAAACACTAGTAAAACTAAATGCATGCTCTTCAATCGAACGCTGCTGGCACCCGCCTGCCCGACTAGAATCACTACTCTCGGCGGCTCTGACATAGAATATGTGGACAACTACAAATACCTAGGTGTCTGGTTAGACTGTAAACTCTCCTTCCAGACTCACATTAAGCATCTCCAATCCAAAGTTAAATCTAGAATCAGCTTCCTATTTCGCAACAACGCCTCCTTCACTCATGCTGCTAAACATGCCCTCGTAAAACTGACTATCCTACCGATCCTTGACTTCGGCGATGCCATTTACAAAATAGCCTCCAACACTCTACTCAGCAAATTGGATGTAGTCTATCACAGTGCCATCCGTTTTGTCACCAAAGCCCCATATACTGCCCACCATTGTGACCTGAACGCTCTCGTTGGCTACATATTCGTCGCCAAACCCACTAGCTCCAGGTCAACAATAAATCCCTTCTAGGCAAATCCCCGCCTTATCTTAGCTCATTGGTCACCATAGCAACACCCACCCGTAGTCTGCGTTCCAGCAGGTATATCTCACTGGTCATTCCCAAAGCCAACACCTCCTTTGGCCGCCATTCCTTCCAGTTCTCTGCTGCCAATAACTGGAACGAACTGCAAAAATCTCTGAAGCTGGAGACACTAATCTCCCTCACTAACTTTAAGCATCAGTTGTCAGAGCAGCTTACCGATCACTGCACCTGTACACAGCCCATCTGTAATTAGCCCACCCAACTAACTCATCCCCATATTGTTATTTACATTGTTATTTATTTTGCTCATTTGCACCCCAGTATCTCTATTTGCACATCATCTTCTGCACATCTATCATTCCAGTGTTAATACTAAATTGTAATTATTTTGCACTATGGCCTATTTATTGCCTTACCTCCATAACTTACTACATTTGCACACACTGTATATAGATTTTCTATTGTGTTATTGTCTGTACGTTTTGTTTTACCCCATATGTAACTCTGTGTTGTTGTTGTTTTTATCGCACTGTTTTGCTTTATCTTGGCCAGGTCGCAGTTGGAAATGAGAACTTGTTCTCAACTGGCTTACCTGGTTAAATAAAGGTGAAATACAAAAAATCAACAGTCAATTTATTAATCACAACCTCGTATCATATGATCGTTCTGAACAGTCGTAACCTCCTTGCATCTGCAAAAACCCGAGCCTTACTTATGATTCAGTACTACACAAAAGTGTTTAATTATTGATTTACTAGCTAATTAAATGGGAACACAGGATAAACACACACACTCTGCAGCGGTTAGTGACTGGAGACTTAATACGCTGATAACAGGTCCCTAGAGGAATGACAACAACATGGCTGCTTGTTAACAAGAAGAGACGGAGAGAGAGAGAGAGAGAGAGAGGGACAGAGATAATAATTTGATCCATTCAGAAACTATGCTCACCTACAGTACCCATATACTTTGCACACCAACTGCCGCCCTCTTTGAGTAGGAAATCGTGAATGTATTTACTTGAAAATGTCTGGTTCGCCATGTATCTCTCGGTGGACAGGACCGCCCTGGAAAGGGAGTTGGGCCTTCTCGCGGCCCGCTTGTAAGGCTCTGACTGTCCAAAAAAGTTCCAACAAGTCTTCTACTGTTGTTCTCCTCTGTAGTTGTCCGGTATCCGGTGACTTGTCATGTAGTCCTGAACAGAACTACAGAATGAATTTTCCTTCCATTTTTCCATTTGCTCTTGGAGTTGCTTCTTAGAAGATAGGCTAGCCAGCCGTATCCATGGTTCCCCAGTGGGGGTGATGAGAGTAGCGTAATACGATGGTTTGAGCAGAGTAAGTAAGAGGAAAGGTCCTACTTAAATTCGCTTTTCGAAGATACTTTACTTAGGACAGCTAATCAGCCGTACCAGTGATTGTCCGGGAGGTGAGTTTTCCTTCCCCACCTCGTGTTGCAGAGTTCAGAGTTCAAATCACTTTAACACGTGCAGCTGCAGCTTTACGTCTTTCTGGTCTGATATGTTCATTCGTAACCCCCATCCTTTTATACACTCTGCTCGAAAGGGGGGCGGTTCCGGCAGGCTGACACGCTCACTGACCTCAGTTTGGGCGGCGATTACTCACTGTAAAACAATTATCTCTCATAACCTTTCAAATCACATCCCTCTCTTAACAAAAACGCTTTCATCATTTTTCATATTATATGCCCAACGCATAGGATGGACACTTCGTACATGTAGTGGGTATACTTTCCAAGTTACAGTATTTCCTTTCTAACATTTTTAATGACATCACAAAATAACAACCCAAATGACCTTAGTGTTCTATAGATCGACCATTCCCCATGTTCTATGTTAGAAATATTATTCCAGTATTCACTTTTTGAACGTGTTTCAGCTGGAAAAAAGTTTGTTGGAACAAAGACATTCGTTGGATGGATCTTGAGAGGGAGAGCCTGGCCTTCTTTGTTGATTTACAACAGGGTGTGAGCTGTTAACCCCCCTCTACGGGTGAAAGGGGGTCTGATTGAAGTTAGTAATTGCAAACCTGATCTGACCTATTTGGATTCTAGTGGACAGTCAGGACGCTGTAGCTAAAAGGTGATGTGTCAGCATATTAATTATGAAAATATAAAAAAATGCCCTATTACTAGGCTAATCAAAATCAAATACAAATGCACTATAATTGTGGGCTAAATCTGTAAGTTGCACTGCACAATCAATGAACCAACAGCATCGCCTAGGCCGATACGTTCTCTCCCAGACGCACGGATAGACATTTTGGAGCGTAGCATAAGGTAACCAGGTCATCCATTATGCATAATAATACAGTCCACACTCAAAATATGATTACTATAATGTGTTTAATTTGAGAGTATAGGCTAGACTAATGATGTACCAAAGACATCTTAAATCTTTAAAAAATATATATATTTCTTAAATCTGTTTTTTTTAAATGTTGTTAAACTTCTTTCATCAAATTGATCATCAAAGTGAGGTAACTTTTTTTATTTTTTTGCTTAATGGTGATTTTTAAAAGCATGATACTATTGATAAGTGTTTGATGTGATTTTTGAATTGCATTTGCATCGATGGGCAGAGTGGTTAGAGAGACAATAGAGCGCTGAGTACCAGGCGGTTCGCGACCTGATGGTCGTTAGCCAGTTGGGTACTACCAACGCATGTCCAGAGTATGTCGGTAATATGGTCACTGCAACAACCCTAGCCTCACCTTCCTTTTGTGCAATTTTCTGAAAACGTTTGGCGTTTGGCGGGCAAAATGCTGTGTTGACTTGTGGAACGAAGTAGAGATTCAACGCTCTGATCGCGGCGCCGTGATCCGTAACCATCCCGGTCTCTGGTAGCGTCAAAAACATCTTGAACATCTGGTGAGATGCAAAAGTAGAGCCGTCCTCCTTTCCTCCATCCGATGCTTCATCGTCGATAATTCGTCCTTTTGCTATCAGCATACAGTTCAGATGATGTTTGATGGGTCTTTAAAAGAGAACGTTCTGGATTTTTACAACTTGATGTTAGATGGTTCTTCACCCTGAAAGCAGTCAATGGGCCAGCTGAAACTAATCCAGGGGTCGGTTTTCTCTTAACCACCACTACAAACAGCCCCATTCACTTCCACCGCTTGTTAGCTAGGGGTGGCTATAGTTAGCTGAAGTAGTGGCTGTTTAAAGAAAACCAAACCATGGATAACAGTTTCTCCTGGCCCATAGACTACATGGGCCTTGGTCAAAAATAGTGAACTATATAGGGAATCGGGTGTTTTTAAATGCGTAGATTACCCTTTTATAGAACTCACTGGAACAAAGTTGTTGGGTAAATAAACAGCCACCAGTGTTTAGGAGCATGAGAACTTGGTGTTTATAAGGGGTTGATTGAATAAATTATTCTTCAGTAGATTTCACTGTGGTTTATTTGCTGGAATCCAGTGTGAGATTCTCCATACAAGATTATCCCAGACAAGATTCTTGATTTTGGCCCCGATTTAGGCTCAGCGATGTTAGGATTTTAGAAGTCGTAGTGTTCGCCTGGCATTAGACAAGATTCTCTCAGACAATTTCAGAGGTGAGGGAAACCTCAAGTCCGAAAGACAGACTACTTCTGAACCCCCAATTCATCCAATCATCTCCTTCCTTCCTCAGTCCAGCTCCCGCCCCCCTGGGAGCCTTGTCCAATCATCTCCCTCCTTTGTCAGTCCTGCTCCCGCCCCCCCAGGAGCCTTGTCCAATCATCTCCCTCCTTTGTCAGTCCTGCTCCCCCCCCCCCAGGAGCCTTGTCCAATCACCTCCCTCCTTCCTCAGTCCTGTATCCGTCCCCCAGGAGCCTTGTCCAATCATCTCCCTCCTCAGTCCTGCCCCCGCCCCCCAGGAGCCTTGTTCATCCCACTATCCACCACCAGAGCTCCCAACCAGTGAGGGTCTCCCTCAGCCAATGAAATCCCTGAATCATTGGGCGAGTTTGGATGTTGAATGGCTGATTGCTGAGAGGACGCGGAAGTGGAAATGGCGATGTTGATGACGTTGCTGCTCAGTCCTCCATTGGTACCACTGTTGCTACCTGCTCGTTGAGTGCTGCTGTTGTTGAAATTGGCATGGTTACAAACGTTGTTGTGGCTGGTACCATTGCAGAAGTTGGCTGGAGTAGTGGTGTTGGGATTGGTGTTGCTCATAGTGCTGGTGGCGTTAATACTAGAGGAGCTGGTGTTGGGATTGGTTGCTGGGGTGCGAGAGGGAGGGTTAAAAGAGAACACCCTCTCCCCTCCACCTCCCTGGGGGCTGAGGGGTCCAGGCTGTAGGCCGTCGGGCAATGGTGTGTTATCCAGAGACATACAGGGAGGCAGGGGCTGTCGAGACAGCAGGCCCTGCCCGGGCCGGAGCTTCGATATGAGGCAGAACTCCGGAGGGTAAACAGGATCAGGGAAGGAGAAGGCCGGAAGACAAGGACCCTCCCCCTCCTCACTCAGCCAGGGGAAGGCAGAGGAGGGCAGAGGGGGCATATGACTCGGGGTGTCAGGGGGTAGCAGACCTCCAGAGCCCACCATCGGAGGGGCCAGGGAGCTAGAGCTGCGATCCCAGGTGTGAGCTCCTCGGGCGGGCCGCAGGTGAGGCATGGCCGGGGGAACACAGTGGATGGGGGTCTGGGGACAGCTGTAGAAGCCGGACCTCTCGTACAGCGGCATGGAGGAGAAGACGTAGTCCAGGTGGCTGGAGTCGTGGCGGGGGCCGGGGCCCGGCGTGAAGGTGGCCCCCTCGGTGTGCAGGCAGAGGGGGAAGCGGCTGAACGGAGCTCCGGGGCGCCGGCGGAGCAGGGAGACCCGGGAGGAGATGGAGGAGCGGGGGAAGACTGGGGACTGAACCCCCAGGAGGCGACTCAGACCACCCAGGAGAGGAGTAGAGTGGTTGGCCTCCTCATGCTCCTTGATCTGCTCCAGGTTGGACTGGAACTCCATCTCCTCTTTTGGAACACTAGAGAGAGTGGTGATAGGAGTGTGTTAGCTAGCACACTAGAGTGGTGAAAATAGTGTGTTAGCTAGTACACTAGAGGGGTGATAGGAGTGTGTTAGCTAGTACACTAGAGGGGTGATAGGAGTGTGTTAGCTAGTACACTAGAGTGGTGATAGGAGTGTGTTAGCTAGCACACTAGAGTGGTGAAAATAGTGTGTTAGCTAGTACACTAGAGGGGTGAAAAGAGTGTGTTAGTTAGTACACTAGAGGGGTGATAGGAGTGTGTTAGCTAGCACACTAGAGGGGTGATAGGAGTGTGTTAGCTAGTACACTAGAGGGGTGATAGGAGTGTGTTAGTTAGTACACTAGAGGGGTGATAGGAGTGTGTTAGCTAGCACACTAGAGGGGTGATAGGAGTGTGTTAGCTAGCACACTAGAGGGGTGATAGGAGTGGTTCTCCTATGGGGACAGCCGCAGAACCCTTTTTGGAGTTTAGGGTACCTGATGTTCAGGGCTGAGCCCATGAAGGAAGGTTTGCGGTGCTCTGCGCTGGCTGCAGTGTAGGGAGGCTGGGGTTCAGACTCGTTCCAGTACTTATCCCTCTCTACCAATGGGAGAGTGTCGTACATCTCATCCACAGACAGCAGGGACACCTTGGAGGGATAGAACAGGATAGGAGGTAGTACAGGGTTGTGTTCATTAGGCATCAAATGGATGAAAACAGTCTGAAACAGGGAGGGACTACCTGGCTTTCTCCAATAAGACGCGCTTATTGTAAGTTCCTGTTGCAAAACGTTTGTTTTCTGTTCCGCATAGCCTAATGAACAAATTAAATGATTAGCCAAATAGAGCAGAAGAATTTAATGGCATTTTAAATGGAGGACACCAAACCTGTAGATTGCGATCAACCAGATAGTTGGTTTCAAAGTCATCGTCGTCTTCCCCAAACGGGTTTATCAGTTGTTCTGCCACCTGTCCACACACAGCGAAAATCAATTAATCAACCAATCAATCAATCATACAATCAACCATCCACCCTCCCTCCCTCCCTCCCTCCCTCCCTCCCTCCCTCCCTCCCTCCCTCCCTCCCTCCTTCCTTCCTTCCTTCCTTCCTTCCTTCCTTCCTTCCTTCCTTCCTTCCTTCCTTCCTTCCTTCCTTCCTTCCTTCCTTCCTTCCTTCCTTCCTTCCCTCCTTCCCTCTTTCCCTTCCTCCCCACCTTGAGCCAGCCCATGTAGAAGAAGAACTGTAGCAGGGTGAAGACAGGCAGGTATAAGTCGATGTCATGACCAGCGTAGCCCTGGGCGGGGTCTAAGAACTGTCGACCAATCAGACATGCCAGGAAGAAACTGTAGACTGCGACTGTCACCACCTAACACAAAAACACTACCGATCTGATTATTTAGACCAATGACCAGTCATCTCTTATTTGCATATGTATCCTCCTACTTTGAAGGGGTAAGCAGGGTAAGCGCTAGAGTCCTATCCGCCAATCAGGGCTGGGTATTTAAATATATAAAAATGTATATCAACACGCCCACACGATCAGACTGAGCATTTTGGCGAAAGGAGGCTCAATAAAAAATATAGTTTGGAGTTAATTTCATGAAATAAACACACACAGTGATTTATATGACTTACAGTGATGATTTTAAAAATAAAATGTAAAAGACTGCATGGGGCTTTAAGTAGAACTACAAAACATATATAACAGAACCTGGGTGTACACAAGGGGTAGGCTGATCCAATCATAGCTGTATAGCTTCAGACACTGTGTCCGCAACGTAATCAATTCCTGCAGACAGGAGGAGGAGAGACATGGAACAATGTGAGGAAAAAATAACATGTGTACACACACACACACACACACACACACACACCCTGGCCACACACACACACACACACACACCCTGGCCACACACACACACACACACACACACACACACACACACCCTGGCCACACACACACACACACACACACACACACACACACACACACACACACACACACACACACACACACCCTGGCCACACACACAAACACACACACACACACACACCCTGGCCACACACACAAACACACACACACACACACACACACACCCTGGCCACACACACAAACACACACACACACACACACACACACACACCCTGGCCACACACACAAACACACACACACACACCCTGGCCACACACAAACACACACACACACACACACACCCTGGCCACACACACACACACACACACACACAGAGAGACTTACATTGAGAATGGCTGATAGCGCCACGTCATTGTTGATGCGTCCCTCGGTGCGGGCCCTCAGAGCCAGGTTCACAAACCACATGCAAGGAACCCAGAACTTGTTATGAGGTGAGGGCAGCTCCTCCAACTGCCTGTGTTCCTCTGCTGTCATCAGGCCTGGGGGACAAACACACAGGAAGGGGAGGAGTTACTAGGAGCCAGTTTGAGGCTGATGCCCAGCGGGCAAAAATTTGGCACACAATGTCTTTTAATGCCATTTTCTGGTTGGGAAGACATCATATAACCAGATTACAAGCAACTGGTCTCTGTTACAAGCAGTATGGTAGGATAAAGATGTGTTTTTTATGACGGGATCAAGATATCTTGGGAAAGACTTCATATTTCGACCATAAAGTCAACGCAGACGTCATATAATTGCAACATTGGCGTGACACAGCGTAACTGCCAGTGTATGACATCACACCGTACCTGCCTGCACCAGGTGTTCCATGGTGGGGAACCTCTTGTAGACGGCCGTGCTGACCGATCGGTAAATGAGCACGCCAGACAGGTTGGCGTAACGTATCAGGGTCCGGCGAGTCAGCCTGGCGCTCTCGTCGGTACCGCGGACGTGACCCCCCACCAGCGCACCCAGCCGGTCCGGCCAGGGTACACTCTCAAACTGACCCCACCACCGAGACACCACCAGGGTCACATAGAAACCTGAGGGAGACACAGACAAACACACATGGAGATGACTAAAAACATGTTATTTATCAATGGCTGTAATACTACTGTGACCTGCATGTACGACCCCCTGATCGTTACGTTGTCTTATAATCATCCCATAATGATCAAGCATAATACATCTGACTCATCAAAACAGGAGGCTCAATACAGAATCCTCAGAAAGGTTTCACATACAGTTATGATTGAGCACTATGGTGTTCTCTGACACACACACTATTATCGCACATGGTTGATCTGTAACTTCAGTTTATGTGGGGAGGTTGAGTGATTACTGAGCTCCAGGGTTTTAAAGGGTTGAGTGATTACTGAGCTCCAGGGTTTTAAAGGGTTGAGTGATTACTGAGCTCCAGGGTTTTAAAGGGTTGAGTGATTACTGAGCTCCAGGGTTTTAAAGGGTTGAGTGATTACTGAGCTCCAGGGTTTTAAAGGGTTCAGTGATTACTGAGTTCCAGGGTTTTAAAGGGTTCAGTGATTACTGAGTTCCAGGGTTTTAAAGGGTTCAGTGATTACTGAGTTCCAGGGTTTTAAAGGGTTGAGTGATTACTGAGCTCCAGGGTTTTAAAGGGTTCAGTGATTACTGAGTTCCAGGGTTTTAAAGGGTTCAGTGATTACTGAGTTCCAGGGTTTTAAAGGGTTCAGTGATTACTGAGTTCCAGGGTTTTAAAGGGTTCAGTGATTACTGAGCCCCATGGTTTTAAAGGGTTCAGTGATTACTGAGCTCCAGGGTTTTAAAGGGTTCAGTGATTACTGAGTTCCAGGGTTGTAAAGGGTTGAGTGATTACTGAGCTCCAGGGTTTTAAAGGGTTCAGTGATTACTGAGTTCCAGGGTTTTAAAGGGTTCAGTGATTACTGAGTTCCAGGGTTTTAAAGGGTTCAGTGACTACTGAGTTCCAGGGTTTTAAAGGGTTCAGT